GTACATTTACTTCCTTATACCTCTCATTAGTCTGCTGAGCACCTCCATCAAATCCTATGGCTTCCTGGAACACAGTTTGGAGTCCTCTGCCCTACCTGAAGAAAGTTAAAAGCATCAACATGTTTACACAGGAAAAGGAATTGGCTTCCCCACTACTTTTATCATCTCCCTCCATGAGCCTTTCCTTGCTAGTGTCTGCAGTTGTATATCCTTTTGACATTACTTTGTATATTTTTTGGGAAAAGCCTTTTTTATACCAGACAACCCAGAACTTCTCAGTTTTCAGTTATTTATTCATTCATTAAATGTTTAGGTGCTAGTTTTATTATGTCCTACTTTGGGACATACAGTAATGAATAATACAACAGGAAAATGGTCTCTGCCTTCATGGATTTTGTTTTCCTGGAAGTGGGAACAAGGGATGATAGTGCAGTAGGAGCCATGATGGGGGAAGCAAGGAGGGTCCAGGAGGGAATCTGGGAGGAAGTGATGTCTTGGCTGAGTCAGCCCAATAATGTGGTGAAGGAAGGGCTGAGGCACTATCACTTACCAAGGCCCAGAGGTGACGGGACCTGGTATGTTTGGGTAATTATAGGTAGTCCAGACTGATTGGAGTTGAGTGTGAGGTAAAATGTGAGAGGTGCATGAGCTAGACCTTTAAGTTGAGTTGGGTAGTCCTATGTTTCCCCAAACTAGCTTGATTATAAGACTCTTTAGGGGCATTTGTTAAGAATGAAGATTCCAGCTTCCTCCCCTGGAGATTTTGATATAAGCTTCTGATACAAACAGATACAATAAAACCCTTCCATTTGACTCTTTGCTTTCCTTGGGATTTGGTTATACTATAGAACATTCATATCCCATTCTCTTGAATAAAGAGAGCCATAAAGTGCAAAGAAGGCTTAATCCTTTCTTATCCTTTCCCTGTCTTTCTCCTGTACCTCTTGGGTACCCACTGTCCCATTGGTTCCCTGTCTGTTCATGAATTTCACTGGGCTTTCTAACTGGGGCCAGAGTTCTGCCTGGATATTTAGTTAGGGCTCTCTGTATCATTTCTTTTCTTTTTAAAAATTTAATTAATTAATTAATTAATTTCTGGTTGCGTTGGGTCCTCGTTGCACTCAGGCTTTCTGTAGTTGCCGCAAGCAGGGGCTATTCTTTGTTGTGGTGCACGGGCTTCTGATTGCAGTGGCTTCTCTTGTTGTGGAGCATGGGCTCTAGGTGCGCGGGCTTCAGTAGTTGGGGCACGCGGGCTTCGTTGCTCTGCCGCATGTGGGATCTTCCCAGACCAGGGCTCCAACCTCTGTCCCCTGCATTGGTGGGCGGATTCTTAACCCCTGCACCACTAGGGAAAACCTCTGTAGTTTCTGGGTGGGCTTGAAACATTGTCTGACATTAGTATAAAAATGACATTTTATTGTATTTCTTTTAATGAAATATTCTTGAAATGAATGATAATGAAGAGTAATCATTTCTAGTTCAGAATTCCCAAAGTGATATTCCAGTCATTTCAGTTTCTTCACTGGGGGCTTTTCTATTTTGTATTTGCCAAACTACCATATTTTCTGATCAGGAAATTAATGTGACATTTACATAGGGGAAGTATTAAAAAAATGAAGGCTATTCTTAGGCACTGTATGAGGATTCTCCTTATATAGATCAGGGAAGATGACTGCTTCAGAAGAAGGGAAACATGGGAAGTTTGGTTGAATATTAGTACAATAAGATTTTAATAAAGTTCTAAGGTTATTAATTATATCTTAACTTTTAGAAATTATTTTTGGATTTGGACTGCTATTAGATTTTTAAAAAATGATGCTCTGGCCAGGACTTCTTAGAATTTCTGAATCCTGTAACATCCCACTGCTCTCTCTACATTTTCCTCAGTACATTTAGAGTGATGTATTTTCACAAGGATCAGACTGGCAAAGGGAAGCAGAGTGATGCTTGGTTCTTGACTAGTTCCTGAGACTTCAGTGTAGAGATTTCTGGCAAACTGGTCTGAAGCATTTGGAGTTTCCTTTTTTCCTAAACTTTAGCTTTGGGCTTGTGTGATATCTGCTCTATTTCATCTTTTGTTGTGACAAATCTGACTCTGCACTGGAGAAGGAGTCTGAAAAGAGTGAGTTATACCAAGTGCACTACCTTTTTTCTGTAGTTACTTTTCCACTAGCAAGCATTGCCTAATAAATATCCTGCAAAAGTCTGATTAATCAGGTTAGTAATGTTTCTGTTTGATCAGATGGGGGTAGAACTTTCCTTTCCTAGCTGTTAACATTCGTTTTATCAGTGTTTCTTATTAAAATATTTCATAGAAATAAATGTTTAGACATTAAAATTACCTGCAGTGATTTAATGGTGGGTTATTTATTAAATGTTCTTGGACATGTGTTGGCATTCTTTCTTAAAATTATTGGTTTTGAATAATTAATATTTAATGGTTCCAATTTAAAATATTTAGGCTGAGATAGTAATATAGAAACTAAATGAGTAAAAGAAAATCAGACTGAATAAATTTAACCAAAGAAGTGTAAAACTTATACTCTGAAAACTACAAAACACTGTTGAAAGAAATTAAGGAAGACTAAATAAATGGAAAGATATCCTGTATTAAAGGATCAGAAGATTTATCATTAAAATGTCACTATTCCCTAAATTAATCCACAAACTCATTGCAGTCCTCATAAAAAAACTGGCTTTTTTGAAGAAATGGATGGGCTGATCCTAAAATTCATATGGAAATTCGACCCAGAGTAGCCAAAACAGTCTCAAAAGAGAACAAAGTTGGAAGACTCACACTTCTGAATTTGAGAACTACAAAGCCACAATGATCCAGATTGTGTGGTACTGGCATAAGAATAGACATATAATCAGTGGGATAGAATTGAAAGTTAAAAATTAAACCCGTACATCTGTGGTCACTTGATTTTTCACAAGGATACCAAGACCATTTAATGAAGAAAGAATAGTATTTTGAACAAATGGTGCTGGGACAAGTGGGTATCCATATGCAAAAGAATGAATTTGAACCTCTGCCTCATACCGCATAATAAATTAACTAAAAATATATCATAGCCCTAAATGTAAGATCTAAAACTGTAAAACTTTTAGAAGGACACATAGGTATAAATCTTCATGAACTTAGATTAGGCAAAGCCTTCTCAGATATGACACCAAAAGCACAAGTGACAAAATAACAAATAGATATATTGGATTTATCAAAATTAAAACCTTTTGTGCCCCATTAGATACAACCAAGAAAGTGAAATGACTACTCAGAGAATGGGGAAAAAAAATTGCAAATCATATATTTCATAAGGGACTTGTATCTACAACATATGAAGTACTTATAACTCAATAATGAAAGACAAACAACTCAATTAAAAAATGGGCAAAGTGAATCATAGGGGGAAGAGGTTTCTTTTTTGAGATAATGAAAAACTGACTGTGGTGATGGTTGCACAACTAAGTTGAATACTTTAATGGATGAATTATATTTCAAAACACCTGTTATATTAAAAAAAAGAAAATAGGACTATAACGTGTATGTATAGCAGGGTAGAAATTTTGTGAGAACCAGGTGATAGAGGAAATAATTTTAATTGTGACATCAAGGTAAGGGTTGATTGAAGTGAGATTAAGAGAAATCTTTGCTTCACTTTTTGGTCAATAAATATTACTTTCACTAAACCTGGAAAAATCCTTCCTTTTTTTTTTTTCTATGAGCAGAAATGAGACATGACTGTAAATATTGGTAGAAGATAATTTGTGCTGGTTCACTTTCCCTTTATTGAATCAAAAGTTGCCAGATCTTACAAAGGCAGCATAGGTGAAATAAAAAAACTCACGGTGGAGGCCAGAGTTCCCTGAAGTGGCCTTAAAATTCAAGGAGACTTACAGCAGATTTTGAAATGAAAACAAAGTTTTATTTATAGATTCATATAATTTAGGCTTTGTTCCAGTTACTATGGCTATATATTACTTATCCCCAAACAGTCATTTATTTTGTTTATACCTTTTTTGGGTCTAAAATTAGAACAGCATCCAGTGCTTATGTCTTGACTTTGCTGCATGATGTCTCAGGCCTCCGTTGGAAGACTCAGAGACTCAGAGCTGGGTCATTTGTTGCCTTGCTCACTTACATGTTTGGTAATTGCTGCTGACTTTCAGCTGATGGACTCAGTTTCTCTGGGTATCGGTGTCTCTGTGTGGTTTCTCCATATCAGCTAGTTTGGGCTTCTTCACATCAGTGGTGTCCAGGTTCCTAGGGCAAGCATCCTGAGAGAGTGAGAGCACAGACAAGCTGTCCCACATTTTATCGCCCATCTTCAGAAGTCAGGCAGTGTTCCTCTGCCACACTCTATTCATTGAGGCAGTCACAGTGTCCTCAGGTGCAAGTGGAGGGAAATAATCTTTAGTTCTTGATGGGGAGTGGCAGCATACTAGAGGCACATAAAAATACTGGTCTGGAAATACTGTTGTGTCCCTTTTTTGAAAAACACAGGCTGCCACAGACCTGGAAGGGGAACTTAGAGATCAGCTGGTCCAGTTCCCTCATTTTATAGATGAGGACACTGAGGCTTGAGAAGAAGGGATGTAACATGGCCACGGTCATGGCCTATGGTCGGTGGTCAGACTGGGGCTGGAATTTAGCTTTCCTGACTCTGGGCCAGGGTCTTCCCTACTATACCACTTTTTTTCATTTTGCGGAATACGTAGTTCATTCACTCAAGTCATCAGTGGTCCTCCCCTCAGAGTTTTCTTAGGCTAGCAGACAGGATGATATAGGCAAAACTGCTGACATCGTGCTTGGTTGGCATGGAGTGGGCACGCAGAAAGCATTTTTAACCCTTCTTCCCCACTTTGTGTTTTATCCAAAGAGGGCCTTGTTGACATGTTATGTATAGACTGTGCCAACACAATGGAATAGAGTCACTTCCCTAGCATGTGGAAATTAAATGGTAAATCTAGTTGAAGATTTTTTATTTGCCCCTTTTCAGGTGCTCAGAATTTTGATGTCATACGACTATCAACTTACAGAACAGCTTGCAAATTGCGATTTGTGCAAAAACGATGCAACCGTAAGTCATTTCTACTCATTTCTATGATAGCTGGATAGAGCTCTTGATAATATAGAAGATTTTAATGTGTTTTAGTCATATTGTAATGTTAATTGAATTATTTTGTCTTAAGTGTTTATCAGAATATAAGCTTTGTAATGGAAAGAGCTTGTTAATTTATTCTAGGTGTCCCTCAAAATATTTAAGAAACTCAATAAGGTAACTAGTTTTGAGATTAATTAATTCTTTATTTTTTTAAAAAAATATTTATTTATTTATTTATTTATTTATTTATGGCTGTGTTGGGTCTTTGTTGCTGTGCCTGGGCTTTCTCTAGTTGCGGTGAGCGGGGACTATTCTTCCTCGCGGTGCGCGGGCTTCTCATTGCGGTGGCCTCTCTTGTTGTGGAGCATGGACTCTAGACACGCGGGCTTCACTAGTTGTGGCATTTGGGCTCAGTAGTTGTAGCTCGCAAACTCTAGACTGCAGGCTTAGTAGTTGTGGCACACGGGCTTAGTTGCTCCGCGGTATGTGGGATCTTCCCGGACCAGGGCTTTAACCCGTGTCTCCTGCATTGGCAGGCAGATTCTTAACCACTGCACCACCAGGGAAGTCCCAAGATTAATTAATTCTTTAAATGGGAGAATTGATTTTTCCTTGTCACTGTTTTTAATACAAAGTTTTATGTAAAATTAATACAGTTTATCAGCTTCTGGAGAGAAAGAAAAACTAATATTTTGATAAAGGCATAATAAAAATTAACTTTCTTGTTTAAACTTAATATAACACAAATCAGCCTTTTCTATAAGCAGTTGCTTCCACAGTTGCTACTTATAAAATAAGTAAATTAAAATATTTGTAAAATGCATATAAAATCTTTCTTAACTTGTGTGCAGATGAACTAACTTAGAATTATTGTACTTTTCTCAAATATGTGTGTGTGTATGTATGTGTGTGTGTGTATTAATGAAAAACTGTTTTGTGTAATGGAAAGAACATTAGCCTTAGAATGGGAAAACCTGTTTTACTCCAGGTTTTGTTTGTCATTTATTATAAACACGTGACCTTGGACAAGTCCCTTTATATTTAAATACTTCTACACTACTTTAAGTCCTACTCAAAAATCCTAGCTTAAAATTCTCTCCAAAGAGTTTACCATACCATCCTAGACCAAAGTCATGTTTCTTCTCTGGTTTCCCAAAACATTGTTTTTAAATTATGGGTTGTGACCTGTTAAGGGTTCCTGAAACTGTTTTGGTGAGCTGTAGCCAGAATTTAAAGCATGTAATGGAGAAAAGAAAAGAGAAAAAAATAGTCAGAACGTAGCTTATGTGGTATTTTGTGAAACGTGTTTTTTATATATCTAGAGGGGTGTGTGTGTGTTGATTTAAATATATTTGCATGTTGTCAAAAAGTTTGAAAACCGCTGTCCTACAGGAACTACCATTTTTATACTTCTTCCCATAATTATTCTTGGAACACAGTAGTCTATGTGTGGGCTGAGCCAGGCTAGTGGCTTTAGTAATATAAAGTAAAAGATGCATTGTTCTAGCAGTTTTATTTTGTCACATATGATTCTTCAGTCCACCTGAAATTTTTTTTACTCCAGATTATATATATGTTCATTTAACCCTATACTATTTATTGAAAAGACCATCCTTTTTCTTCATTACTAAAAAAATCTTTTTCTCATATTCATTAGGAGAAATGTACAAGAATGTTCATAGCTGTGTCCATATGTGAGAGGATCTGCTTTTGGACTCTTGGGTTCCATTGGTCTGTTTGTCTATCCTTATACCAATAATCACTGTTAGAGCTTTGTATTATGTTCTGGGTACTTTTGTTCTATTTTACTTTTTAAGATTGTCTGAGACATTCTTGGCCTTTTTACGTTTATTTTCACACAGATTTTAGAATTTGCTTGTTAATTTCTACTAAAAATGAACAAAAACAAAAATTTGTGCTGGGATTTCTTTCCTTCATTTTTTTTTTAAAGTATAATTTACATATAATAAAATTCATCCTTTTAATGTATAGCCCTGTGGGATTTTGTTGGGACTACACTGAATCTGTAGATCAAGTTGGGGAGAATTGATGTATTTCCAGTGTTGAGATTTCATTTCTGTGAACCTGGTATATCCCTCCATTTATTTAGGTCTTTAAGTTTTGCTAATTTATATATTTTTTGGTAGAGATGTTGCACATCCTTTATTGGATTTATTCATGAGTCCTGGTGTATATTTAGAAATACAGTGACTTTCATATCTTGATTTGTATCTAGCAGTCATTCTAGACTCAAATATTAATTTTAGTGATATACATGCAGAATCTTTATGATTTTCAATGTGTATAATTTTGTCATTTCTGAATAATGACAGTTACATTTATTTCCAGTACTTGTACTGATGATTACTGCATATTTATATAGGTTAGGATTTGAAATACGATAGGAATGATGACAGTGGGCATTTCTTATCTTATTCCCAATATCAGAGGAACGGGCTTTCAACATTTTACTATTAAGTAATATGTTTGCTGCAGTTTTTTGTAGATATCCTTAATTAGATTAAGGAAATTTCCAAGTAGTATGTTTCTTCATTTCTAAAGATAAAGTTTATTTTAAAAGTTTTCTTTTTGATAATGATTTCTGACAATTTCATTTTGATCACAGAGCATGGCTTATATGATTTTAACCCTTTAAAATTTATTGGGATTAGTTTTATGACTCAGGATAAGGTCAGTTTTTTTACATGTTCTTTGTGTTCTTGAAAATAAAGCATATTTTCTAATCACTGGGAGCAGGACTTCATATAGTGTCCATTATGCCTGCCTTGTTAGTTGTAAGTTTGTCTATGACTGTACTTATTTTTTTGTATGTTTGCTCTGTCACTTGCTGAGAGAGGTGTGTTAATATCTCCCACAAAGCCTGTGAATTTGTCTCTTTGAGGTTCTGTTACATTTTGCATTGTGTATTTTTGAAGCTACAAAGGGGAGGCAAAACTTTACCTCTACCCTCTCAGGGTCTCCAGGGGAGCCTGAGAATTAAATTGACATAAGACAGATTAACAGGAGAAAAGCATATGGATTTTTACATGTACATGGGAGCCCCCATAGGAAAATGAAAACCCAAAGGAGTGAGTAGGCTTAAGTGCTTATATTCTAAGTTGAACAAAGAGTGGCAGTTGTGGAAAAATAACTAAAATATGTCAGGAGACTAAGGATAAGAGCTATTTTAACGAAGTCTGCAGATTTCGCTCAGACTCAATTCACTGTCTCTGGTGATGAGGATGTTTCTTTCCTCTTGGAACAGGGAGGGCATTTTTCACATGGGACTTTTATTTCCTACTTTTGGGAAGAAAAGGGGAGGTCAGAGTGTCCTTCTTGGCATCTGCTGTTTTTCAGGTGTCTTTAGCTCAAACCACTCTGTATGCCAAAGTGGCATATCTTGGGGTGACATATTCTGCCACCCTTCACTATTCTATTAAATGTAAGTAAATGTAAAGTTCTTATATCTTTCTGCTGAATTAAAACTTTTGAATTGTTGAAAAAGTTACAAAATAAACACAAAGTTTGTGTTGACAAAATAAACACAAAGTTTATTTTCTTTGTGTTCCAGTCCATCTTGTTGATATCTGGAACATGATTGAAGCCTTCCGAGACAATGGCCTTAATACACTGGACCATACCACTGAGATCAGCGTGTCTCGCCTCGAGACCGTCATCTCATCCATCTACTACCAGCTGAACAAGCGCCTTCCTTCTACTCACCAAATCAGTGTGGAACAGTCCATCAGCCTCCTCCTCAACTTTATGATTGCTGCATATGACAGGCTAGTACCTGCCCTGCTTAATCCATTTTAAGAATGTTTCTCTTTTAATCATCCTTCTTCTGTACTGCCTTGCCAAGGGTTGTCAACTTAGAATCACAGTTAAAAGGGAAATGAATTAGTACAGGTCCCTTCTAAAGACTGGTTAAATGCCAGAGTGACTTACTGTCTTGGGGCATGTCACATATTAACCTCTGTAACATTAGGGAGATTCACAACACTTGAGACATAATTGTTTGGTAAAATTGTCGGTACCTTAATATAGCTGTTCTCTATCCAGTGAAATATAGCCAAGTGGTACATTTGATTATGAGGCTTTCTATTTGACTTTTAAACTAACTTTTCTTTGCTATGTAATAGCAATTGCCTTTGGACTATAGTATCTTGTTTTGTCTTTATTTATGTTTAGGATTCTATTTTAATTCTTTTCAATGTAGAGCATTGTGTTCTAAACCTTAAAACAATAGAAGAAAACTAAATGTCCTCCAAATTAAAACAGAAATGAGTTGTTATATTTGTATTTATGGAGGATTAAGTTGATATGATAAAAAATAAAAAAGAAATCATAAATGATGGAAGCACAGAGGTTAATATTTATTTTCTGGGAACCAGGAGTTCAGATGTCTGATCCCCGCTGTACTATCAGCAGTATGATTTGGATGGGTTAATTCTCTCTGCTTCATTTTTCTCTCTGTAGGAAAATGAGTTCATACATTTGTAGAATGCTATTAGTTATACTTTAATAATATTGAGGGTTCTGTGAATTAATGGTAAAATCATACAAATGTCAAGGCCAGGTCACAACATAGGCACTCACTAAATTCAGTTTTTAAAAAAAAATTAATTAATTAATTTATTTTTGGCTGTGTTGGGTCTTCGTTTCTGTGCGAGGGCTTTCTCTAGTTGTGGCGAGTGGGGGCCACTCTTCATCGCGGTGCGCAGGCCTCTCACTGTCGCGGCCTCTCGTTGCGGAGCACAGGCTCCAGATGCGCAGGCTCAGTAGTTGTGGCTCACGGGCCCAGTTGCTCCGCGGCATGTGGGATCTTCCCAGACCAGGGCTCGAACCCGTGTCCCCTGCATTGGCAGGCAGATTCTCAACCACTGCACCACCAGGGAAGCCCCCACAT